CCCTATGTTCAAAATTCGAGAAAGTGCAGGGATTGCTGAGGGAATAAAAAAATGCGTCCCAATATTATTGCGAATGTGACGGAAGAAAGCGTTCAGCGTATCCAGACAATTTTGTGAGGGGTGTGTGGTATGCGGCTTTCCGTTACAAAGAGGCCACGATCATGCGGGCACTTCGGGGCTTGTGACACTGCCAGCAAAGTGCCCTATTCAGAGGTGTACAGGTTCAAGCCCAGCATCATCAGGTATCAGCAACGCCATGAACGAATTGTGCGTCTTCAATGATAAAGCAACTTGTTTTTCAACGCGCGGTGAGTGGAGAAGCGTGCCGGAACTCATGTGTTCGCGCACTATACGAAGTGGTGGCAGATGGCAGGGTCGCAGCGCCCCCCTCAAGGGAGTGGTGAGAGGCATGTACTAGACCCGTTGCGAAGGCCGTAAAAAGGGAGCGTGCAGGTGCAGTCTAGTTCGGCCGTGGGAGGGGCTACCTGCTACTATACTACTACTAGTACGCACGACCTTCGGCTCAAGGAGTTTCACCTCTAAGAGGACATTTCTGAATAGTAAAAGCGATACCGAGTCCTCACTTACACAGCTGTCACTTTATGTTGATAAAAAAACGCTTCCAAAACCTCACGAGCACACGTGGTTTCGCTGTGCTTCGGTATCTTGGTGTGTTCAAATCGTGCTTCACCTTCACAGGCTGCGATGTGAGCAGGCAAATCGTGCATGGAACGCTCTGTGCCGAGCTTAGCGGCTTCACGTTCTCTAAGTTGAGCATCTTCCGCTCGACGCCGACGTTTACGTTCGGCGTCGCGAGCTCTTCTCCGCGCTGCCTTGTCTTCGGACGACGACTTGGTTGCGGTTCCGCCAACACTTTGGCCGGCGCTGGTCGAAGGAACGTCGATCATTGCAACCTCGGACGTCGACGCGCCGTACAAACCAACCGACGAGCGGCAACTGAGCGAGCGAGCACCGACCTTGAGTATATATACAGCGCGATGGCGCATGCACTGTCAGCTGTCGAATGTTCGAGAAGGGGGAGAAGCGCAACGGCGCATGCGCGCGCGTCAGCTGCCGATGTTCTCGAAGCGCGACGGCGCATGCGCGCGCGTCAGCTGCCGATGTTTTCGAAGCGTGACGGCGCATGCGCGCTACATCATACAGCTAGCGAATGTTCGTGAAGAGGAGAAGCGCACGCGGTGTGTAGAGGAGGAAGGGTGCACAGATGGTGGAGGAGTGAAGCGCGCGTGTGCGTAACTTGTAATAGCGTTACGAGTCATGCACAAAAGTGGCACCAAAGTGGGGAGGTTTATAAAAACGTTCACAGGTCGCTGCGGGCTTTGAGGGCGTAGCAGGCACCATACGAGTTTCAGAATAACGTTTGCCTCTCCTAGGCAGAAGTATAGTAACTTTAGCGGCCCCACAAACCCAAATGCGCGGAAATTACACATAGCCTCGACAATAGCGCTTTGCGGGCCTCGCGGGCCGCACGCGCCGAACGCTATTTCAGATTTTATGCGGACGGACTGCAAACACGAACGGCGGCTCACGTTACGGCGCATGCGCAGTGGCAGCGACCGCACCGCGCAAGGGCTCACGGTGCGGTTGCTATGCTAGCAGCACCTGTGAACTTTGGCACTATAGGGAGGTTTAGAAAGTTTCACAATTAACGTCAACGTAAACATGAGATATTTATAAGAGATCGCTCTTTGCAGCGAAAATAAATCGCGGAAGAAGAGTATTGCGTTTATCTTTATTGAATTATGCCTACATGTTGATGCTTCTGAAGAAAACCTGTGCCGCAAAGGCATATGTCTGTCACTATATGTTCCAACGAATTAGTATACCCCGGTTAAAATTATATCTGGCCACCAGTAAGATGGCAGGTTCTCGCAATCACTTTCGAGGCATATCATTACCTCCAGCAGTTTTGAACATCATTCAATCGCCTAAGCTTTGGAAGGTGAAAGATATTCAGATTTCTTCATACACTTCATGTCTTAATTCACATTATATGGGGCGACGTGAAGTTACCTACTCTACCAGGAGTATCGCACACTCGTCATGATTCGCGGAGATTGGTTCAGTTTGTGCTAACAGGGAGGTTTAGAATAACGTTCGCAGGCGTGGCGGGCATTGCTTCAGTTGCGGGCGCCATATGAGCTTTACAATAGCGTTTGCTCCCCCCCTTCCCCAGGAAATAGTCTGGGGACTTTCCCTTGGGGAGGGGGAAGTCCCCAGACTTTCCCCGCCCCAAGGGAAAGCCCAAATGACAGAAAGCTACAAACTGCACTTGGCAGGACTCGTGGGCCGTGATCGCCGCACGCTATTCCGGAATTCCTGCAGGCGGGCCGCAAACGCGAATGGCGGCTCTAGTTACGACGCTTGCGCGGTGGCAGCGACCGCACCGCAAGGGCTTGCGGTGCGCTAGCCTATACCTCGCCGAGATGTTGCTTTCCATACGCCACAGCGACACACTCATACATGGACTGGCACTCACGTGGACCCTGTCCATCGTAGCTGAACTGCCTTATGCGGAACGTGTCCTCGTTCGCAACGTAAACGTATCCGAACACGCCGTGGAAAACATTTTCGAAGGGGCCCAGGCGGACACCATGGTAGCCCGGATCTGCAGGCAACAAGTAATACGTCAATTATACTCTGCGCGAAAATCGGTAAAGTTTCACAGCAACGTTTGTGCAACGATATGTGTGGTAGAAACTCAGCTGGCTTGTAAGACATATAGTATCATCGATTGGCAGATTCGGAGTGGCCGACGAACTCTGTGCCAGAGCACTCCACTCTGCCGGAGGGCGACAGAAGGGAATCTACCAATGAAACACACATGCTTCCTCTGGAGGTTAATATAGTAGACTCACAATGGAACGCGATACGTGCGTCTCTTCTTGCTTGAGTCAGCACGCTGCACACAGCGACGCTACGCTAGCAAAACGCGAGCTCCAGCGCGAGGCGCAACCGACGCGAGCAGCGTTCGTTGTCGCGCCCGAAGTTTGACACTGTTTCAAGTCCTGGTGCGCTTGTGACTTCCAGTCGAATCCGCCGATTTGCACGGAGCAGTTGCTCCGCGGAGTGATCTCGCGGCGTAGCTGCTCCAGATCTGCCAATGGAAGCCCTCAGAGAGCACTCTAAATCTGCCAATGGAATAGACATGCTCCTGTATGGGGCAGATAAATTATTACTGGAAGTGCTCCGAATCTGCCAGACTGAATGACACCAGTAGTGACATAATTCCGGAGCATGAGGAACACAAGGACAGAAAAGGAAAGTGTGCTATGCTGTGGGTCTTGTTATGTTGCTCACGTGTTGAACAATTCAGGGACATTTCGCATTAAAGCAAATATATCACTCAATTTGGGGCAGCGAAGTTCGTGTAGCTGAGCGTAGCGCTACGCGGATCAATAGGGCTCTAGTTGGGTCTATATCTGGTAGCAGAGAATCTTCTGCTGCCCCATTCCAATTTCTTTTGCTGCTATTTGTTCATAAAGCTTCAGTATTTTCGCGAGTTTTGTAACCTATGTATGAAAATTCAGTTGTATTGGCCTAGCTCAGTATCCAGTTAATAAATAAATGACCCACAGCACTCGGCTTCACCTCTATATGGCAGAGATCTGACAACGCCCGTTTGCCATTAGTTTTATTCCATTCACTGGACTTTTTTTTTTCATTCGCTATGACCTTTTTACCAGAGGAACGTTCATAGGGGTACTGAGAAAACAATTTTGGCCTACTGTTTTTTCGCTGCAATGTGTTCCCGCGGGGCGTTCAGTCAAAATACGACAAACATTGTTTTCGAACAGTGAACGTGACGGCAATGTCGCCCGACACAAAAGGAAGTAAGGGGGTCACGAAAGGTCCCCCTTGAGAGTCTCATTAGGGAGAGGAAGTCTATCACTCACGCAAAATTCAAATATAGTGTAAAGTAGCCTCCAAGTAATGTTCGCTGTTGATAATTTGCAAATAAACGCATGTTCACGGAATCAATACCGCAGGCTATCTCTGCCGCGAAACCTTGTTTCAGTACCTCTTTAACTGATAATCCATCCATCCATCCATCCATCCATCCATCCAATCCATCCATCCAATCTATCTATCTATCTATCTATCTATCTATCTATCTATCTATCTATCTATCTATCTATCTATCTATCTATCTATCTATCTATCTATCTATCTATCTATCTATCTATCTATCTATCTATCTATCTATCTTATCTATCTATCTATCTATCTATCTATCTATCTATCTATCTATCTATCTATCTATCTATCTATCTATCTATCTATCTATCGACGTAGAAAGCATGTGTAGCTGGCTACAGTCGAACTCGCAAACACTGGACACAAAAGAACAAAAAAAAGAGAGATTCATGCGTAACATCAAATATTTCGATGTACGAAGTTCCTATATTTTGTTGCAGTTAGAATACGCGGCAATACGTAGAGGATATTTAACTGTGAATTGGCACATTGCCGCAGTTTGTAGCTGGGCGGGACAATACGACCGGGGTAAATTATGCACATTCGGCCAGCCGGCCAGCCGGCCGGCCGGTAAGTTTTCAAGAAGGTCTCTAGACCACGTGCTGTGAAAAAGTGAAAGCGATGTTCGGAACTTGAAGGTAGGATTGGAGCGAAAGGCTTTTTTCTTGTATCATTAAACGTTCTCGTAGATTACCTTCTGATGGTGTGGAATGCTCTTTGGGTTCGTCCGGCTCCGGCTCCGGGACCGGTACGGTAGTGGCTGCTAGAGAGAGAGAGAGAAAAAAAAAACGTACGAGGTTCTTAGACAAAAAGTCCTCATTGGAAGAGCATGGCAGGCATCGGCAGTAAAGAACGGAATGCTACGCCTCTGCACGAACGCCTATCGAGCTGTACCAGGCATGTATAACTCTAGCATTGCAAGCAGTCCAGGAGCGCTAAACGAGCGATGTTTCCATCGTCCTTTAAGGATGCGGCTGCAGCTGTTGATATCTATGGAGCACTCATTATGCTGGTGAACTAGAAGCTGACCAGCCAAGGGACCCTTTTACATAACTAGCAAGAGCGCTTCTCTGCATGCTGCTGCATATTTGCCCTATACTAATGGCGGCCCCGGTCGTGCTTCAGGCGGAGATGCAGTCCTAGTTGAACGTGCCACGGCTTGTCTACTACTGCGCACTTATATCGACAGTCATCACCGTGCTTGCAGCACAGGCTGTTTGCAGAAATGGACTGTAGCCGCCATGAGTTGTTTAAGCTACATAGCAGGAAAGCTGACTAGAATTTTGAAATGGGTCTCGAATTTTGGAACGGAAAATTGATGACAGAGGGATATATATATATATATATATATATATATATATATATATATATATATATATATATATATATATATATATATATTACGCACAAATCAGATGGGGTAAGAATAACTGTTTATTGGGGCTTGGGGCTAACTTGCGCTTGAAAAGTGAGGGAAAATGAAGCAGCGTTTGTAACAGGTGCTCCGCAAAGGAATCAATCTCCGAGAAGCCCTCGAGTGGTGCACTACTTCTTTTTCGTCAAAATCCCCTGCTGAGGAGGCGCGCGCCATCACGGCCTTTTCTTGAATCATCGGGCCGCTGGTCTCTTGGGGGGTGGGGCGAGGGGAGATGGAGGGCAGGGGAAGGAAGAGTGAAAGGGGGTGCCCGGGGAGTCCACCTTACATTCTCATTCTTTTCTTTTCCTTTTTATCTTCTTTTTCCTCATTTTTTCTTATTTTTTCTTCGGTTTTGTTCTCTTTCTCTCTCTCCCCCTTTGATTCAAGATTGTATAAAGCTGAGCACCAACAAACTGTACCCTCAATCCTGACGAAGGCCAGGCTCTAGGTCGAAACATCGAAATAAAGCACATTGTGACCACTGAATATATATATATATATATATATATATATATATATATAATATTATATATATATATATATATATATATGATTAATAAAGAAATTTTGATGAAGGCCGTGCCACGGCCGAAACGTAGAGTAAACAACTATCAAATTGTCGTAAGTGTGCTCCTTTATTCCTAATTATAAATATATATATATATATATAATATATATATATATATATATATATATATATATATATATATATATATATATATATCCGGATTCCGCCCAGGAAAAGTTATCTTTTCACCCACTTTTCTTTCTTCTCATTTACATTAAAATTGGCCTAGTAACTTCCCCTCTACCTTCCTTGGCATTATTGTCTGTTAGATCTCATTATTATAGTGTAAAACATGAAAAGACGAGCCCTTAAGTATACACTTGTTTCCCTTATATATATATGTATGTATATGTATTACAAAACTGGATTAAATTTAGTGTTTATTTTCTGCACACAGGTCAGAAGGTTCCAGGCAAACGTAACGTAGGTAATGAGCGCAAATACCAGTTTAGGTCACTGTCACTTCAGGACGGGAAAGAATAAGGGAAGAAAGGGAATGCGGTAGTTGCTGGGGCGGTACAATACCACCCCGCGCGCTGAATGTTGACTATTCTCGATCACTCGCAATCCACGTTTCTCGACTTTCAGTGACATTGTGCGAAGTGCCTGAGGGCTGCCCGAGTGAAAAAAAAGAAGAGAAGGATAAGAGCGAGTGTGAGCTCGAAACATTCACCATCGATGTATAAGAAGAGAGTCGAAGAACACCCTTTTTTGATTGAAGTTGAAGATGCCCTCTAAACGTGCCTCCCTAAGAGGCACGTTACAGATGTGAGCAAAATAGATGAATGACATCTTTCTGCTTGGACTTAAATGACACCCTTCTCCCTAATGTCTAAAAGTGCATCTCCAAAGAGCGTGTGACAGGTGCAGCTCTTATATGTATAATAAAAGAAATGTCAAAAGACACATTTTCGCTCGGAGTTCAGGCGACAGTTCACATGCATAAAAGAGTCAGAAGATATCTTTTTGCTAGGAGTTAAGAAGAGTCAACGAGCCTATGAAGAGCGTGCTATGTTAGTCGTGTTTCTTTGAAGAGAACATTATGAATGTATGAAAGGAGAGTGAAAGGACACCTTTTTCAAAGTCTTCTCTAAAGAGCGTGCTACAGATGGTACTCTGAGATGCATAAAGCAGTGTAGAAATACACCATGTTCTTGATGATAAGGAGGGAGTTAAGGAGGATATATGAAATGGGAGTCAGAGGACACCTTTACGATTGGAGTTAAGGAGAGTCATGTGCAAAGCAAGAGTCAGAGGATATCTTTTTCTTGGCGCTTAAGAGACCCAACGTGCTTCTTAAAGAGCGCTGCTATACAGATGCGACCAACAAGTATTCTTCTAGAAAGTCGAAGGACACTTTTTTCCTCGGAGCTAAAGAGAGTAAATGTGCCTCTGAAAAATGCGCTACGCATGGGTGAAAGAGGAGTCAAAGGTCACCTTTTCACTGGAGCCTCACATGTATGAAGAAAAAGAAAAATGACAGCTTTTTGCTTGGAGTGCGCCATTTTAGGTCGAAGTAGGGAGGTGGTTGAAGAAGAAATCCGAGAAGCATGCCTTATCCCGGAGAAAAACAAACGTTATCTGTATTAGCGATGCTTCGGTGGCAGTTTTCTGAACTAGAACTTGCATTGAGAGTGTCCGATTGTGCGATGTGACGTGTGGCGTGTTTTTGCGCAAGTGTGGCATGGTGAATGTATTGCGGTTGTTTTGCGAGAATAAAACTAGTCGCAAGTTGCGAGTGGTTTGCGTCGTTCGCGTTCTTAAAATCATTGCCATTACTTCCGGAATTGTAATACATGAACAACTTGCTATTGACGTGTTTCGGATAAGATATACAGGGTTTCAAATAATTCGAGCGACATGCATGTGAAACCCTGGTGCACCAAATCTACCTAGTCATAACGGTGCGTATCACAGACAGCGAAAATCGCTATACTACGCCTAAAAATTCCTTTCGTTGTATGAAAATTTCGGTTCATAGCTGCCACATTCAGAGCCGCCAACTCTCCCTTCAATAAAAGTAAAACGACATGTCTTATTTACTGGATTTTAATGGGACCTAGACTGTGGTCCCAACACACGAACTACAATCACAAAGACAGTCGATCAAATCTCATTTTCAACATGGCATCACGGGCTACATGATCAGTGAGAAACAAACAATATTCGTAACTGGTACGTGTTCACAACTCTGATATATATTTTTTTTTGAAGTTGAATGTAAGTTTGCCCGAACAGAACAGTTCCTGTATAATGTTACACGAACAGCGAAAAAAAAACTATTAACACTTATTTATAACGTGGAGACGTGTGCAACTAGTTAACTACGTCATTACTTTTCGCGATACACGTGAAATATAGCCCTAGTACGTCACACTTTTAATGTTTACTATGTTCGTGCAGACATGCGAAAATATTTCATGAGATATTTTTTATACGTAATGGAGGTTTACTTACCATGTTCTGGATATTCGGACGTTTGCGTATAGAAAAAAAAAACGAGAATAACTTGACACACACAGACAGCATTGACAACAAACAGTTTATGAAACGTTACGACCATTATTTGATTTACCTTGAATATACTACGTTCTGCTAAGTCCAAGTGTTCGGTCCGACTCGGAAGTGCAGCCGCACTGGGCTCAGTGTTTAATATGAAAAGCGATATTTTTATGCACCTTCAAATTGTGCTCTTGTAACCAGATGTTTAGGTATCAACCCGTCTGAGCAATGTATTCTAAACCGCAGGTAAACAACCCTACAGACGATTTTGTGGCACATTACACTGTGGCTTTTATTTAATTGAACTTGCGCAGTGCCTGCTTCATCAAACACGTCCTGCATATTGTGCTGCGACAGAAACACCCGAACGAAGGCTTTTTACTGGAAGGGTGCCTGCAACATAAACAAGGATGCTCAGAGAACGTTGCTGATTGGTAGTCGAGGTTCCTGACGTAAGCGCAGCACGTTTCTTGGAACTTGACTCAAAACAGCTTTCTGTTACGTCTACAAATCATGCTGTTGTGTTCTGTGCCGCATATTCTAATTCACAGCTATCAGCCAGCGAGCATTCGTTCCGTGTACGAATACAACCAATGAGCGAAGCACTTTAGGAAAGAGACGCAAGTGACTATGCTATTTCGGAACCCCTGCCCCGCCGCGGTGGTCTAGTGGCTAAGGTACTCGGCTGCTGACCCGCAGGTCGCGGGTTCAAATTCCGGCTGCGGCGGCTGCATTTCCGATGGAGGCGGAAATGTCGAGGCCCGTGTGCTCAGATTTGGGTGCACGTTAAAGAACCCCAGGTGGTCAAAATTTCCGGAGCCCTCCACTACGGCGTCTCTCATAATCATATCGTGGTTTTGGGACGTTAAACCCCACAAATCAATCAATTATTTCGGAACCCGATTTCGCTGCTGGCTTTCATGAAGGTGCTAGGGTAGTGAGCGGATGGGGTGAGCGTGTGCACGCTCGGTGGCGACAACGACCAAGCGAGTGAGCGGGCAACTCCATCAATCTTCCGCCATGCTCGCGCCTATTTCGCTTGGGACGCTTGCTCGGCGCAGGGAGCTTCGACGGCGGTAGTGGAGAACGGGCTTAAGAAGCTTCGCTTCTAGAGAATCTTCGGTCGCCACGTGGGCGGGATTTCACGTCTTTCCCCCAACGTGACATGTGTAGTAGAGCGCTCTGCGGCACCCAAAAAGGGCCAGTCGAAGATCAGTCTCTCGCTTGCAACAGAAGTGAAACCAGGTCTTGCCCTTCTAAACTCTCGGAAACGGAGATCAAGGCGCACACGTAAATGTTACGTTACTTATAAAAAAATTGTTGCCGATGAAAGTAATGCACTGAAATGACTATTGTTGACTGTAATAAACTTTGCCCTGGACTTCAAGGCTTTTGCGAAACGTGGTTCTATCAAAATGAAAGCCCGCTTCGTACGAGCGTTCAATTTTAAAGCGAATTCAATGAAAGCTCGGCGGCATTAAATTGACTATGGCGTGTATTTTTCTATTTTTTAAAAATTCATTAACTTACGGCATGCGAGGAAAATGTTCAGTTTCTTCGCGGAATTCTCAGGATTCATTGTGCCCCTACTATAGTGAACTAGCTGGAGACCGCAGCCGCCGTCATAGAGAGGGCCTGGAGGCATGATTTCACTGATCTTTTTGCTCCAGCGCTACAACCTGCGCAGGCATATTAAAAGCTAGGGCATTATAAAATAAATTGGGCCAGTAGTAAAGTTAAAATAATTTACTTTTTTCTCGCTCGTAACTCATGAATTGAGGCAGGTGTTTCAAATATTAAAGTCATTCATGTGAAGAAGTTCATGCAGCTTTGAGATTATAAAAAAAATGGCATTCAGGCAATACTTGCGAAGTAACGAACTTCAACAAGTTTTGCTCTGGCGCAGCGACCAAGCCAGCCTCTGTGGAAACTCGTGCAGGTGTCAGTGTTGGCCGAGCCTAGAAGAAATAACTCAGTTGATATTTCGACTTTGCTGCTTTTCTACCTGCGTGCCCTGATCTGGCCGAACGCTGGCCCTGAGCATTCTATGTGAAACCATGCTTTTCTTTAAACGTTACATGTATCGACCTCGGTTTTCATGGATGTACGAACAATTTGTTAATTAGAAAACATTTGCCGCCCTTAGACTACCTCTAAGATGAAGGTAAATGTATTTATCGCGAACAATGTGCATAATAGGGAAGTTTGCTTACCAGTCGAGCTGGCATTCTGGCTGGCGGTGGTGGAGCCACCGCCGTTATTTCCACCAGGGCCTTTATCAGCAGCTTCCGAGGTGGTAGTTCCACCTGTGAAGGAGAAAACGACAAGAAGAGATCGAGTCGACGTGGCAACATGAATTCGCGGAGACGGTTATTTGTCAGACAAGCGCAGGGAGAGACGGAAAGTTTTGGCGCCTCTGAAGAAGGTTCATTACGTTACAGCGCTGACTGATAACTAAACTTACGTGTTTGTATTAATAGATCAACGAAATTCCACTATCAACGATTACCAGCCATTCTTTTCAGTTAGCGCTTCACTCGTTTTTCGCACATGTAGCCCGTTATCTCCTTCTCAACACTTTTGTAGAGGGGAGAGGGGGAGGAGCCCTTGGTTTGCCGAGGTCGCTCCCTCGAAAACTTTGCGCGTGAAAACGGACAGTAATCCACTTGCTGAGCGGCGCAACACTTCAGGTACTAATTTACTCACAATACCTTACAGGCTCCTTACCAGAGCATTGTGTAAGATGAAATGTCCACTATACATTCTGAAGGGAGCAATGACATTGCGATGTAATCGAGTGCCAGAAAAGAAAAATTTACACCGACGTAGAAAAAAATAAAGGAGCATGCACGAAGCGTAAAAAAATTCCGAACCTAATTACCATTCATAGTGCTACAGTGCTAGTATATAGTGCATGGAGACGAGGACAGAACAGACTGGCGCGAGCTAATCTGTGTGGCTGGCGCTGCTCGCTTAACCGACTCAAACTTATCTGTCTACTATTCCATGGCGGTCTCCTTCTCGTAACATATTTGGTGCAGTGGTGCGACACCTAATTCACCAGATACCTGTGACAACTTGACGCGAACTCGTTAGGCGGGAACTTGAAGCGGCTGCTCCAGCTAAGGTGGGACCAACGTCCCCTGACCCCTCTCTTTCTACTACGTTACCCCTCATTCATGTAGTCGTCCGGCAGAAAATTGCCAGCTTGGGAATTCGCTCTATTTCAGCGCCTCCCCGCACCGACTTCCAGCCCCAATACACGTCTGCACGTTCCTTCCCGACCGGCTCTCTCTCAACGTTCCGTAAACAGTCCACATGGCGAACACACAATCACAAGCCAATCTGTTTCTAGTGCCACCGAATTGTGCACATTACTCGCAATTGCAAAAGTCGCTGGGGTCCTCCTGCACAAGCTTTCCCTCGTACCACCTATCTCCATGAGACCAGCCACGACAATTTTGCCCAGGAACCTGCTACATAACACCGCTACTCCCGCTCTCCATCGCCCCAACGTCGCCAGTCTCGTTCTCCACTGCCCCGCCGACCATCTTCCCACGACTTCCCACGAGGTTGCCTGACGAAAAACTGGACTGATAGAAAATTCTCTGTGACAATACAGACGAAGCAGAACTTTATAGAAGTAGACGGCGTACATATCACTGCTCTTGACACCGGCGCTCAACTTTCCGTGACGACGAGTGATTTTCACTGCAACCTCAAGAAGGTTCTCGTGCCTGTGACCACTAAGTTCGTCCATGTTGCGTATGGTGGAATAGCATCTATCGTTGGAATGTGCTCCACTCGCTTAAGCATTGGCGTTCGACACACCGTCGTTTTCTTCTCCATCTTTAATAACTGTCCTCAAGACGTAATATTAGGCCTCGACTTCCTGTCCGCGCATTCTGCCCTTTTAGACTGTTCGATCAGTACGCTCCGTCTACACTTGCCCGCAACAGAACCTCTTACAAAAGGCCGAGTCACCTCTGCACAACGGGACATGCGCGCCTCCCTCCACAGACACTGACCTACGTGGAGCTCGTCTCAATACCACCAGTTGCCGACGGTGACTGTTCTGACCCCTATCACAGATGCCATCATCAATCGCGGCATTACATAACCACACACCATTCTGTCCATCGCAGAGAATTCCCCGTGCCCCCCAGTTGTCAACTTTAGCTTGCCTCTTTGGCGTTGCTCTGCACATTAGAAGACAACGCGGTAGATGTTTCCACGGTGACCGCTCCTTCTGGCCCCCACGCTCAACATCAATTTGACAATGTCTCTGACAGCGCTATTAGGTCAATGATCGCTTCCAACTTAACTCCGCAGCAGACTGACGAGCTCCAGCGGGTTCTACTGTCCTACATCGACGTTTTTGACCTCAGCGGCCGTCCTTTGGGGAAAGCTACTGGTGTGACCCACCGCATAAACTACGGGTAATGCGCGTCTTATTCATAAGCGTGCATATCGGGTGTCGGCGGCCGAGCGTCACATTATTAAAAGTGAGGTCGACAAAATGCTCACCCAGGACATCATTGAGCTATCCTATAGTCTTTGGCCTTCTCCTGCAGTGCTAGTCCACAAGAAAGACGGTACATGGCACTTCTGCGTTGATTATCGACACCTAACCAATATTACCAAAACAAAAGACGTGTACCCTCTGCCACAAATAGATGATGCCCTTGATTGCCTCTATGGGTCTTACTATTTTTCCTCCATGGACCTTCGTTCCGGCTATGGCAGATTGAGGTAGATAAATTTCACCGTGAAAGACGGCGTTCGTCACCTCTGATGGCCTATATCAGTTCAAGGCCATATCATTTGTCCTTTGTAACGCTCCAGCTACCGTCGAAGGAATGATGGACTCCCTGCTGAAAGGTTTCAAATGGTCCACCTGTTTGTGCTACTTGGACGACGTCGTCACCTTTTCATCAACATTTGAAACTCATATAGAGTGCCTCTCAGCCATCTTAGGCATCTTTCGTCGCAATGGCTTGCAGCTCAACTCGTCCAAATGTCACTTCGAATGCCACCAAATCAAAGTACTAGGCTATTTAGTAGACGCCAGCGCTGTACAACCATACCCGGCAAAAATCAGCGCCGTCAAGAACTTTCCTGTACCACGATCTCCGAAGGATGTACGCACCTTTATCGGACTGTGTTCCTACTTCCAACGCTTCGTCAAAAATTTTGCGCACATAGCGAGACCGCTTACGCAGCTCCTCAAGGATGACGTCCCGTTTTCCTGGGGCTCCTAAGAGGCTTCTGCGTTCCCGACTCCCATCGCTCTTCTCACTACTCCTCCAATTCTGGCACACTTTAACCCTGATGGTCCTACGGGAATCCGCACAGATTCAAGTGGAACTGCCATTGGTGACGTTCTGGCTCAGAAACAACGTGGCCATGATTGTGTTAATGCAAGCGCCAGCCGCCTCTTATTCATCTCTGAGCATAACTATTCTATCACAGGGCGCGAGTGCTTGGCTCTAGTATGGGCGGTGGCGAAATTTCGTTCTTATTTATGCAGCAACTATTTTCTGTAGTTACTGAGCACCACGCACTCTGCTGGCTAAATTCTCTGAAAGATCCATCAGGCCGCCTTAGTCGCAGGGCTTTGCGCCTGCAAAAGTTTTCCTATTCGGTGGTCTACAATTCTGACCGCCTACACCATGATGCAGATTGCCTCTCCCGGTACCCTGTCTACGATCCCGAGGACACTGACACGCCCACGGAGCACTCTATCTTGTCATTGTCTGACTTCCTTGACATTGGGGAATCGTCCCCAAATGGCACTTCCGTCCGCCACTTTGTCTTTTAAAAGGATGTGCTATATACCACCGCGATTTCCGACCAGGCCTGACCTTCTCATTGTTGTGCCTAAGCATTTGTGCTGCTGTGTTCTCACCGAATATCACGACGCTCCTACGGCTGGACACCTTAGCGTATCTTGCATGTACGAGCGCATCCGACACCATTTCTTCTGGCCAGGCCTTGCTCGCTCTGTTCGCCAATACATTTCCACGTGTGAGTTATGCTAACGTCGTAAAATATCGTCGCTGCTACCCGCTAGCCATCTTCAACGAATCAACATACTCGCGAAACCATTTTACTGTGTTGGGTTAGACCTGCTTAGTCCTTTTCCCACATCAACATAAGGAAACAACTGGATAACCGTGATTACAGACTACGCTACACGCTACGCTATTGCGCTGACTTCTTGTTACGGGACGCTACATTGATTCACGGTGCTCCCGGACAACTCCTTACAGACCGTGGTCGTACATTTCTATCCCAAGTCATCACCGACATTCTGCGTTCTTGTTCCACGCAACACACACTGACCCCCGCTTACTACCCTCAAGAAAACGGCCTCACGGAATGATTTAACCGTACTCTAACAAATATGCTCGCTATGTACGCGTCACCCGACCACCGAGACTGGGACCTTGCCTTACCCTATGCAACTTTCACGTATAATTCATCCCGTCTCGACACAGCGGGCTTTTCACCGTTCTACTTATTGTACGGAAGGGAGCCGAATTTATCACTGGACGCAGTCTCTCAGCTCATACATCGTCCACCAGCGAGTATGCCCGCGACGCGATTGCGCGAGCCGATCATGCCCGTCAGCTCGCTCGCTCTCGGCTGATGGCGTCGCAGACCAGCCAATGCCGTCAGTACGATGCGAAACATCAAGACGTACATTTCGCTCCCGGTACCCTCGTTTTACTCTGGTACCCTCATCGTCAGCTGGGCCTATGAGAAAAGCCTTTGGCTCATTATACGGTACCTTACCATGCATTGCGCCAAGTAACACTTGTCACCTATGAGACCAGCCCCATCTATGCATCATCATCTGCTGTGTGGTCCAGTAATATTGTACACGTCTCGCGGATCAAGCCCTACTAGAGTGCGTCAGATAACAGCCTTTAAAGCACCGGGATGGTGCCTTCGCCGCCAGGGGTCATGCTACGTGCCAGTGCATGGAGATGAAGAGGACAAAGCAGATATATTGGCGTGAGCTAATCTGTGTGGCTGGCGCTGCGTTACACAATAATAAAACGAAAACGTAACAGGTAACAGATGTACAAAGATTTGAATGAGCACTAATAATTTAAGCATGAAATTTTCAAATAGGTGGTAATGAAAGGCTTAGGGAGTAGTTATCGAAGTAAAATCGCCAGAGAGATCGTTCCAAAGTTGAACGCGTCTTGTGGCAGTGCAGAAGAAATAAACGCCCTTGTCTTGCCAAGGATGCGCTGCTCGAAACTGTCCCGATTATGAAGCCGCCTAGACATGCACAGTGGGATTCTCAGAGGGAATGTGGCCTGGTGTTATGAATATATCCGTGAAGCAGACACAAAAGGGAAACGCTTCGGCGAACCTGGAGAGGATGCAGCGAATATTAGTTTTATTTTCGTAATACTGCGCTTGTGCTCGTAATATCCAGCAACAAAACGGACGGCGTGGTTGACGAGGGGACCGAATTGATGACAAGAATTCTAACTGCGGGCGAACGAACGTTATGTAGGCTAACTTGCGAATGTTAGGTGGTGATTTACGCAGATTGCGGTGAGTGTACGCAAGTTTTTGCGATGAACAGACAGCACAACACAAGTGTATACGATTACGTATTTGTCATCGACTTTTTTGGCGCTGCGATTAACTACTGTAGTTGTAATCGGTTACTTCTTTCTGTAATGTGTTAAACACCACAGTTATAATCGGCGCTAGTCCGACGACTCTTGGGATTTAAGTTAACGAGGTCCTAGGTTCACTTTCGTTACTTCGTCAGTCTCCAGGTTTCTGATCTCTAGTTACACGTTGCCGCTGAGGAATACTCGTACACTATCATTAATGGCCGCAAAACAAGGACTGAATGCACTTTGTCCCGCTTGTAGCTCAAGGTTTGGATCCAAGGTCATAATTCGCCCACTTATGGTACTTCCATAACCTCGCTATATATTGCGAACAAGTATTTGGCCGCGAGGCTGTTCGATCTGTTCACGCGACAATTTCAAATCGCCCATGATAAACTTGTGCTAGCACTCACCGCTGCTTTTTCCCGACAGGACCACGAACACACCAGCGGCGCCGAGAATGAGCAGCACTACGACGCCACCAATGATGAGCATCGAGGACCCTCCACCACCACCTGCCGCGTCTCCTCCTCTGTAAAGACATTTAGTTATCCACACACCCATCTCTATCTACCTATCTGCATCTGTATCTATTTATATACAACTACACTTTTATTTCTGTACATCTGTCTATCTATATCTATCAATCCATATCCCTTTTCCTTACCACAAATCCATTTATTCATTCATCGATATATTTATTAATATATTCATTTGTGATAGCGTACTGGAATTTGACAGCGAAAGCACCTCGGCTGGACTTTGTAACAAAGTTTTACAAACTAGATATAATAAACGATAACTATAGTGTAACATTTTTTTTGACAGTTCACCTTCTCGCAGATGACTGTGTTTAGAGAGAAATGACTGGTTTTAACGACTTCACAGCTCTAGAATCTGACCTTCGTTAGCTAAAACAGATAAAACAAAACAATTGATTTGCCTATTCAAACAGCTATCTGCGTGTCAGATCTCCTTACTAATATCTAATAAAATAGTACAACAAATGACAATGCCGAGTCCTTGCGAACGCTGACAAGCATTGTAAAAACGATGATGTACTTACTCAGCAGTAGCTGTAAAACAGCGAACACATGTCATTTAGAAGATTGTTGTCCGCTATGGTGCCGGTGACTTGCGATATCTTATTAGTCACGAGCCAACTTGCAGCGTATCACAATATAAGCCTCGATGGTAATTAAGCAAATTGCAATACCCCACTCACACATCATACCTGCCAGTTATTCTTTTCGCACCTTTTTTTTATTTGTAGAGGACAGTAACCAAACATTAACTAAGAGGAGGTTATACAATATGAATGTAGGGAGAGTACCTAGAACTATTTTTAAACGCGAGTGAACGTCCACCATTCTAGTTTAACTTTCTTTTGGGTTGTGGTAAACGATTCATAAGATGAGGCGATGAAAGAGCGAAGCGTTTGTGTGCGCATCCCCACGCTTTTTTTTTTAGGGGCGAAGCTCCTTATGGCGTTACTTGTGCGTCCTCGTAGTACGTAACCACCAGTGGCACATACCCGAAATAGGTAGAACATTTGACCTCCAAGGTGGTGCCGGTGAGAGATTTCTTCTGTGCATTGTTTAACAATAAAAAATAGTGCTCAACGTACATGCCAATGGCTGCTAATGAGGAATGAGAGACAGGGGCACTCGGCTTTTAGTCAACGCACACGCTGCGATCCCCATTAGCAGCCATTGGAATGTACATTGAGCACTATCGGACAAAAAAGGGTTGCTACATTATACTCGCTGGGTGTAACCTCCTCAGTTTTAGATAGGTTTAGCGAGCGTTGAGCCGCAGGGCCATGAATACAATGAACTAGTATATACCATGAATGAATTCGAGGTGGTTAAAGGGGGGAAGCAGATACGAAGCGCAAGCCGTAAGAAATTAAAAGCTGGGATCCTCCTGTCTCTCATTTCTCATTAGCAGCCACTGGCATGTACATTGAGCCCTATCTGACAGGAAAAGGTTGCTACGTTATACTCGCTGGGCGTAACCTCCTTGGTTTCAGAAAGGTTTAGCGAGCATTGGGCCGCAGTGCCATGAATACAGTGAGCTAGTATATACCATGAACTCAAGGTGGTTGAAGGTGGGAAGTAGACCCGAAGCGCAAGCCGTAAGAAAGTGTGCGTGTGCCACCTATCGTTTAGTCCTTGGAATGTCCACTGAATGGTGGTGCTTCTATATGGCGAATATATGATATAAAGATGCGAGATGGTGGGACTTGGAGTGTTGAATAGATGGACGAACGGACACACAGACAGATGCATGGATGGGACGCATGAACAGACGCAGGGGCGGATGCATGAGCGAACGCAGGGACGGGCGCACGAACAGACGCATGGACGGTCACACAGACGGACGCATAGACGGACTAATGCTTCGCCCCACTCTCCATCATTCACTCCGTGGATATGCTGCCATTTTTTTTATCTTCGCAACGTTATCTGCTGCAAAAGTAATCCCTCGTATATTTTTAGAAGAAAAGGGTAGTGAAGTTGGCAGTATGAGGAATGGAGTGAAGTCTTATTTTGAATAGAGTTACCACACTTCTAGTCAATGCTGAAGCTGCGTGTTGGTTAGGTTAGAAGGGCCATACGAGGAACGCCCTCCTCGCTTGAGACAGTCGTGCAAGACGACATAAGATTTTATTTCACTGAAGTTTGGGGGCGATCTCTGACATGTGCCGTTAAATTATACCATTACACTATCAATCATTTGGCATTCCCACATCACGTTTACTAGTATACTGGAAGCCGAGTATAATGCAGTGAAAGCAGTTTGGATGAGTGAAGTGGTAGGTTAAGAGCACTTCCCGCTTTTAATAGTGTAGACTGCAAGCACGATTATAGAAAGAAACTAGTGCTCCCACCCTTCCCCCACGGGTCGAGTAATAAAGAACAAGCTTCACAGTACACTCAAAATGAAATGTCTGGGGAGCAAAATCTCAAAACAGTGATATGATTACATAGGGTGACATAGTGTTGGGCTACGAAAAGTATGACCATCTCGTGTTCATTGACGAGCACTGATATCGATCGCAAAGCACACGGACCTCTTAGCATCTCACCCCAGTCGGTTATCACCACTAGGATGAGATTGATCTCGCTGGTAGCAAAAATGAAGGAAGTCATGAAGTGTAGTCTTGCGACGGTCTGACTTGGTCCTTCACTCTTGAAGGTCGAAGGTGGCAAGTGAACTGTTATTTTATTGCAACATCAGTGGTCCTCTGTTGCCATTACCGAAAAATTTGCGTGGCAAGAACGCTTAAAGCGTTGACGGTACAGAACGAATGGGCCAGACTGCACACCCCTGCTCCCCCTCAAATGATTCAGGGGTGCCATGTGCACAAGTTTACGGTCAAGTGACGCATAGACATAGAAACACCTGTAACCGACCACTACGAGGATTCAATGGCTACTGCGCTGCTTCGCAATGTGAACAAATACAATGGTGATCGAGAAGGCTTGATCGAATGCATGCCTAGAACAGCTATCTGAACGACTGGGTTGGGAACGAGTGGGTTGGCCTGTCTCAAACGAGGGAATGTACTTCGTATGACCTTTCTCACATAACCAACACGGAACTCGAGCATTCGCTAGAGGTGTGTTGACTCCATTCAAAGTAAGACTCCACTGCGTTCCTCATATTGCCAACTACACTTCCCTGTTCTTCTAAAAATGGTCTACTGCACTGCTTCGCAATGTGAACAAAACAATGGTGATCAAGAAAGGTTGATCGAATGCATGCTTAGAACAGCAATCTGAACGGCTGGGTTGTGAACAAAAGGAATGAAGATTGATGGAGGATACCTCGATAACCTAAGTTGTTTTAAGCAAGAATGTCGTTCGCTAGATGCTTGCGGATCGTTCCAGCTTCCGAACTACAAAATTATTCTTATGAACTCAATATCGGGTGGAACATGTTATCCTCACCCTCTCACTTCAAAACCTTTGCTCCTGAAAGTTTACAGGTGATGGCACTGAACAACAATTGAAGGTCTACATAGAGCGAGGTCTTTTCAAAAGGACAACAACCGTTTTTGATCTAGGGGTGAAGAAACAAGGCATTGTGTTGGTATATGTAATGCGACGCGTTAGAGGCATCACCTGAGTAGATTTCTGTCTTTAACACGTGTTCAATGTCATGACCATGTCACAATATAAACTAATAAAAGATTATTCAATGGTCATATTGGAGCCTACAGGCTTCAATATGGCTAAAACAACCTTACACAATATAGCACAATGCGACACGCTAAAACAACCTTACAAAATATACCACAACACTCGACAAACATAACACACACAAGGTAGCGTCCAGGTGGCGCCGCCAACGCTCGACTTATCACGGGGGCCCACGGCAGACGACCCGTGGTGCCATTCACCGCGAACCCGCCGCAAGAGACAACCGTTCGCGTCAGCCGCCACGCACCACAGGGACTCGCCAATGTGTCATGTGCTGCCAGCCAGCATTGGCGCCAGGCGTCATTGCTGGCGCTGCCGCATCATCATGATGATGAAGAGAAACGCTTGCGAGCACAATGCCACATACCGCTCGATGGTTGTGAACTTTAACTGCGGCTTATGCGCGAAACACGCGTGTGTCACGAGGTGCAAACCACTTTACAGGGCGTGTTAGCATCCGCACAGGGTCGAAGTCAACATTCGCTATAGCGAATGTTGAAGTTTCCTATATATAGGAAAGAAACCACGGTTTCCCTTTACTGAAAAAACCTCTACATAGGAATAGATGTTACATGGGACGTTTTGTGGCGAACATCTGATTCCACATGTTAAGACACTTTGACTTTAACCTTTTATCCTTGAATGAACTCGAAGGTGACAGACATCCGGTATGACATGGTATATCGCTAAATGGCCTTAACTAATTCCTCTTGTGCAGAATCAAAAGTATATTCAATGCCGCGCACTCTTCGGTCTGGTTCAGCACTTGGCATTTGCGTTATTTAAAGTGTGTGCCCGGGTTAACTACAAAGATAATTAACAATTGCTGACTTACAGCTTGGCGCCGCGGAGGACTCTGTAGAGGCAAGAAACAAGAGAAATCAAAACAGTTAACTTTAGGCATTCAAAACTAGTAAGACCAAACAAACGAGATAATGGCTAGACGTAAGGCCTGTGCAGCACAACTAAGTCACTGAATGTTACACGTAGGCGAGTTGGCCGATCGGGCAAATCCCGCGAAATTATTATGGATACTCTAAACTTGGTGGGTACGTGTAAGCATTTTAACTGGCTGATGGCCATGAATTTCAAACTACTCACCTATTCAAACTACTACTTTCATCTTTTTGACTGTCTCTCACTCAATGCTCCTACTTAATCACACTGGCTTGAACAATACTTGAAACGACTCGAAGATGAAAGGCGTTTGGCATGGCATGCATTACTAATTAACTGCAATTGTAACTGTCCTTAACTTAATGCAAGAATCTGACGAATTTAAAACCT